GTTGATAATATTATCCTTGAATTTGCAATATTTTATTTTTATTGAAAAAAACATATTTTCCATGCTTTATATTATCATATGTGTTAATTTTGAGAATATCATGTTTAAATGTAGCAAAATTGAAAATATGTTTGTTTAGGATATTTAGAACCATTATATGTTTGTGAGATTTGATTTGGACTTTAGTTATTATAATTGTGGACTAAATTGATCAATACTAAAAATTTGTATAACTTGATGTTTCAAGTTGACATTCATGCTCATTTAATATGCTATAAGTCATTAAAATTAATTCTCGATCTATTATATGACTTAGGTTGCATTAAAATCATGTCAAGTGCCATCCTATTTAGTCCTTGGAGTAAAAATGCAATTTTTTCATAAAATATTGATCCCTTTTTGCGATGGATCAAATCCTTTAGGAAAATAGTTGGAGGAGTTATTTTAAAGCCTAATCAAGTCGCATATCACCCATTTCAATCCTTTATTCAAACCAAAAACCTTTAAAACATCCAAAACTTTGAATTTCAACAAATGCTTGAACCAAAATCCGTTTTTCAAGGGTTTATTGCGCAAAATTCATCCTTCAAACATTCTTTCAACCAATCATTCATCATTTTAAAGAAATCAACATCTTTTGGTAAGAAATGTCAAAACTCATATTTTTCAAATTTTCAATTCGAACAAATTGAGTTGAATTAGGTGGTTAGAGAACAATTATTTATTGCAAATCCTATTGTTTTTCAAAAACCAAAATTTTCATCTTACACCTACAAGGTGTTTGATAAAAGTCCCCAACCAAACACCAAATCTATACCATTTAATCATAACCCTTTTCCAAAACCAAAATTCATTTTTGATTTTTCTTAAATTACTTTTGAACATCTTACAAACATCTCTTTTGACCCAAACATATTTTTCATAAAAAAATTCAAAATGCCTAAGAGAAAGTTAATGGCTACTAAAGGAGCTTCTTCAAGCAACCCTCAAGTTGCTTCTTTTCTTGACTTATGTTTTAAAAACTTTAAAGCCCATAAAAGATTCGAAACTATTTTCTTGGATCGTCCAATTAAGGAAACTCGAAAAATTGATTTCTAATTTTTACATCTTTTAGGTTTTCCTTATGAGAAAAATTTAAAGGATGTGAAACTTTTTAATCTTCTTAACTTCCATGGCCTTACTTATAAATCCTTGGTTCGGGCTTTTGATTCAAAAGCTTGTGTTATCCGCTACTCAAGATGGCACCATTCATCTTTATACCTTATGTGTCATATTGTCACCATCACTACCGACCTTATCATCTAATCTTTTAACCTTCTCTTATCAATGATGATAATGAAAAATGCATGTTTTCCTCTAAATATGCACCTTCAAAATAATAGAGCCACCATCTTCTCCATTCACGACCGATTGCTTTATCTTATGATCACTCATTGTATTCGTGCTTGTGCCATGGGATTCTCGATGGTTCGTGAGACTAACTATTGCTAGCATGATAAACTCAAATGCTCGGCTGAACCTTACCTATGAGATGTATCTCATTCATTTGTTCAAGCTTATTGGTATCAACACTTTACACGAGACTAACACGTTCTCTTCCGATGATAAGATCATTGATCGTGGTACTATGGTAAAGATAACCTACAAGAGGAGCTCGAGGGGTCCATGTGCTGGGTTCGTAGTCACCACAGAGAATATGAGGATGATGAGCACAATGGAGACGAGCATATGGATGATGCTCATGATGACCTTGATGGAGATGAACCCAAGAGAGAGACACATGTAGATATGGCACCACTTGAATTTTCTCTTTGTGGTTTTCATGAGTTGGTGATACAATCTTTTGGATCACTTCGGTCCCATGGCGACTCTTGATTTGATGCACTTGAATGCAACCTGGATGATTTTGAGGCTCGTATGGTAGAGGGGGTTCAAGTGATTCAGCGTCAACTCGATGGATTATGTTTCCCTCCTTTATCTATGTCCTAGTTCATGCATTCATTTTCATTACCAAATTTTTAAACTTTGCTACATTTGACGTTTGACTTTAGATGTTTGGCATTATGAACTTATATTTATTTCGATATTGTTTGATATTTGGATGGTTCTCATGTTGGATATTTGAACTTATATGCATTTGTTATTTTTGGATATTTATGCTTTTGGTACCTTAATATGCGCATTCCTAATTCTAGCTTTATTTAATTTGTATCATTTTTTGTTATATTGTATTAACATTATGAATTATTTTTAATATAACAAAAAGGGGATATGTACTATAAAATGAAAAAAAAATGATTTTTTAAAAATTAAATTGGAGAATAATTTTTTTCACAAATTCACAAATCTTTTTATTATTTTTCAAAAAATGAACATTTTTAAAAAAAATCAAAGGATTTTTTATATCAAAAGGGGGTGATTGTTGAATGTTTTGATATAACAATAAATTGCAAAATTGATTTTAGACTTAATTAAATTTGTCAAAAATTTATCAAAAATAATACAAAGTTCAAATTAACTTGAAAAATATGTTTTAAACATTTTCCAACTTAGTCGAAACTTTTCAAAAACATACTTCATCATTTTCTCGCTTTAAAGTCAATTTTCTAAGAAATTTTGGCTCAAATGATTGATCCTTTAGAAAAAGAAAAATCTCTTTGACCAAAGGATCGATCCCTCGAGAAAAATGATCGATCCCTTGGCCAAAAGGATATATCCCTCTATGAAAATGATCGAACTCTTCCCCTAAAGGATTTATCCCTTTCTTGCAATGATCGAATTGTTTGAAAAAGGATTAATCTCTTTCATAAAAGGATCGATCCCTTGTGCGCTAAATGTTGTTTTTGGCTATAGGTATTGGCTATATGTAATGGCTATAATGATCCCCAACGACTAGAATTGATAGAGAATGTATATATTGAAGGTTAAAGTATCTAGAGGTCAACAAGAATCATATTGAACCAACCTGCCAACACCAAAATATTCTTTTGTGCATAACTTTTCAATTTTTTCATTGTAACACACCTGTGAACTTTATTGTTTAATTCGCGTTTAATTTGTTCAAGTGTGATTTGGGTGAGATCTTATTGTTTGCAAACACTTTCCTTTGTGAGGTTTTCTTTTGTTTGCTTTATTTGTAATTACTCTTTGGGAGAGTATGTAATTCAAGGTTTTGGGTATAAACCTTGAAGTATTTGTAAGGTTACTAAGGGGGCGTTTGGTTTAGGATCATTACCAAGGGGAATAATCTTTTTCGGAATTGTATTCCGATATTTGGTTTATGAAAAAGATTTTATAAGGTAATAACTTATTATCGATAGTAACATCTGTTGGTTAAAATGGTTGGAATGTTATTACCTTCAAAATATTAGATCATGAATAATTCACACCACTTTGGACACAGATACCCCTAAAATATATTTTTTTCGTATGAATACTTCCACCCAATTTTTATTCTTTGTGTTTTACTCAAAATTTTAAACTTAATAATAATAAAAATAATAATATACAAAGAGTTTAATTTAGTAAAATATTAATAAATTTGAGTAGTTAAAATTATTTCTATTTTTTTAAATATTTAGTATGTTAATTATTTTATAATTTTATAATTTTATGAGTTGAAGATATTATTATTGTAAAAATTAATTATTTAAAATAATATTTAATTTTGAATTATTAAAAATATATCTTATATATTAAAAAATAATATATTTGTTCACTTGAGATCACAATATCATTTTTATATTATATTATATAAATAAATATGATACTTACGAAAATTATTTAAAAATATAAGTTTGATATACTAATTATACTAATTATATGTTAAATGTATTTTTCCTTTAAACATAGATAGCGTAACAATTAAAATATTTTTATAAATTTTCATTCAAATATTTATAATTTAATATTAAAGTTTTACTTGTTAAAAAATATATCTTACAAGGATAATTGGGTAAAATATACATCCAAATAATCTTATATTCTTCTAATGAAACAATGTAATCTTACATTCCTTATAAACAAACCAAACAGCGTAATACAACATTCATTGAGTAATGTTACATTATGGTAATCTTTATTCCCAAAGTCTTACATTCCGTGAATCAAACACACCCTAAAGGTAAGCAAATCTAGTGGTTGTGAGAATTCCTTAAAGTTTGCACTTTGGTTGATAAAGTCGAACTACTTTAAATCGTTGTGCAAAAGATTTATTTTTCGATTGCATACACCATATTTTTCAAAAGCTCAATTCACCATTCTTGGCGTATTTCGATTGTTTATAAGAACTAACATTAAGCCTTAATTTTACTAATACAAATTATATAATATATTAAAATAAAATAATATATACTATAAACACATAAAACTAATTAGGTCAGACGAGTTCAAACTTTGAATATCAGACTCAACCTTCATTTTTCTTAAATAAATTTAATTTTTACCTAAACTTAGTTTTTGATTTAATATTTTTTTCGAAATTCTTATTAAATTTCGAATGAAACTTCAAATTTAAAAATATGTACGAACTAAGTGATTTCAATGATTAAGAGATTGTTGTTATCTCTCTAGAAGTTCTATGTTCGAGCACTCTATATATATGAGTATAAACGTTCATTACCAAACGATTAAAAATCTTTAAATATATATTAACTTACGTTCATCATATATTTATAAAAAATAATAATCCGACCCTCATAAAGATAGTCAATCCATTGGGATGCCGTTTGCCCTCGGTTCGGTGTGAAATGGACCCCTTAATGATCCAACAATATTTGGAAAATAAGGTTCCGTACGGTCAAAGCTTATCGACTAGACCGGTGAACAAGGGTCCAGTGGCTCCATACACTGGGCCTTACAGTTTGCTTTTCAGTTCCTAAAGAAGAAACTAAAATCCTCAACTCAATTCTGTTTGGCCCAAAAGAAAATCAGAGAAGAGAAAGGTACAGTCTACTTGCTCCTCACCGATACATGACTGTAATTTCAGTTTTAGTGTTTAAGCAGGGCTTTTCTCTTTGTAAGCAGAGAATGCGTGGATCCATGAAGTCGCTGGTTCGACCACTCGTGGGGGAGCGGGGGTTTTCGACGATCTCCGAGAAAATTGTGGCCTCCGTACTGTTAGAGAGATTACCCGTCGTGATTTCCAAATTGGATCCCGTGGTTTATGCGTTTCAGGAGTTCTCGTAAGTTTTACTTTTCCCCTCCTTGTTTAACCGCCGAAAAAATCTGGGAATGTTCCTTCTAGGATATCTTAGATTTCCATTTGCTTCAGAGCAAAATGATTAGCTCGGTGATGCAACAAGGACACTTGTAATAATTTAAAAGGGAAGAAAAGCTTAACTTTTCACTGATTGATGGCTGATGACGCAAAATTATTATTCTTTTTTTGTTCAAGTTTCCACTACTAATTACGATTTTTATGAAATGAGATGAAATGCTTGGAATTTATGTTTGTAATTGCTTTTGTTTTGTGCAGCTTTCGATGGAGGCAGCAATATCGACGCAAATATCCTGATGATTTTTTGGACATGTCTAAAACTAGGCAAGTTTGAAATTTGATTCCTTTGTATTACATATTATAGTAGGGGTGCTTCCTTGTATGTTAGGTACTCCTTTGTGATCCATACATAACTCGTTACGGGATAAGATTCATCTTCATGAACTTTTTCTTACATCCAAATCAGAAATAAGTAACTAAAAAACAGGGAAGTAACCGATTTATCGAAATGAACTGTGTGTCACATGAGATTTTGAGCTGTGTCCTCTGAAAAGGTGGTTCAGGGAAGACAATGTGGATTGAGTTAGGCCTATTTTCTTTTTTTCAGATGAAAAACAACATCCTCAAAGTTGATTCAAGATAATTAATTTTGGCTCTACTATGAGAGTTTTCATGGAATATAAAAGCAATCAGAAAGTCTTTTTTCATTGGGTTTTATTATATATGTTATGCCCTTTCTCCTTGCTTTGCTCTCTCCATGCATACACGCATACAACTGCAAATTTGCAAGTTCTGAATTTGTTTTAATTTTTAGCTAATGAAGCGAATTGTTGTATAACCAGGGGAAAAGGTGACTACCAAATTGACTATGTTCCAGCTCCAAGGATCACTGAAGCTGATAAAACAAAAGACAGAAAGTAAGTGGTGGATTTCATATTCACAGTTGGAACTTCATTACCAAGGGACTATTCTCTGTTTCAAAGGGATCTCATATATGTTGTCTAGAATTAACAATCTTTAGGAATAAATGGCCTGAAATCTAAATTAATTATCTCTAGGAAGCTGACAAAATATATATCGTTCAGCAGAACACTGTTAACAATAGGTTTTCCATCAGATGTATGTCAGAAGGAAATAATAATCTATAGGAAGAAACGGTCTGAGTTGGATCTCAAAGTGCTTTTCTCTTCTAGTTAAAGAGTCTGTCACCTTATTTATATACATACGGGTTATGCAAAGGAACCATAAACATTGTTCTCAAGAAACGATTGTATTCCTCTTGGTGGTTGTGGCTTGTGTGGATAAAAAATGAAACTAATACTTTTGCGCCATCATAGTAGTTTAGTACAATAAACTAATCAAGAAAATTTTGAATTTTATATTTATGAAGGTCATTGCAGAGGGCACTTGATAGAAGATTGTATCTTCTTCTATATGGTAATAGCAATGGAGCTCCTAGTAGGAAACCTGTGTGGCATTTTCCAGAGAAAGTTTATGATTCTGAGGAGACATTGCGCAAGGTAATGGTTGTTCTCTTTTTCTCTCTTCTATTATTATTTTTATCTAATTTAAATACGAAATATTTGCAGTGTGCTGAGTCTGCCTTAGAATCTGTACTTGGAGACCTTTCTCATACTTACTTTGTAGGAAATGCTCCAATGGGGCATATGGTTATAAAACAGACGGAGAACATGCCTGAACCATACAAGGTATTTCAAGCGAAGTGGTTATATTTTATTCTTCTGATGTTTATATAATGCTCGTCTTTGCTAGTCCTTTTGATCAATACCACTCACGTATCGATAACATAGATGCACTTACTTGGATATTTATTTCACTCTCGTGCGCTCTTCTTTTTGCCAGAGATTCTTCTTCAAGTCTCAAGTGATTGATACCAACAAGTTTAATATCCAGAAGGGCGAGGACTTTGTCTGGGTGACCAAGGATGAACTCTTGGAATATTTTCCTGAACAAGCTGAATTTTTCAAGATGATGATTATCAGCTGACGGCAAATTGCTCTGCTTGGTTTCCAAGCCGTACAGTCTTTCCTTGTAACTTTGAAGTAGAGCCCACTTCAGAAGTTCAATCCGAGACGATACAACCGAACATCTGAACTTGAGTTAATTCGGCGAAATAATGAAAAGCTCATTGGCCAAGGGATGGATTGACTTGTCCAACATTTTCGATTTGTTGGTGATTATTAATGCACAGTCATTTTTTTAATGTTGTATTCATATTACTTTGCTGCTATTACTTTTCTTCCTCATCTTTGAAGCAATAATGGTTGCATCTAATTTGTACTACCCATGTTCTTGGTATGATGAACTACAAAAGTAAGTTTGGGTTTTATGCTGTTGTGATTGGCCGAACAATTACTTTGTCTACCTTCCCGGATGGTGGGTAAATGTAGATGACTTAATAAAACTAAAGGGTAGACAAAATTGGTATTTTGACCACATGGGAATTAATGAATTTCCCAAGTCTTGCGGGTGACCTAACTTAGGACTCTTCTCCCACAGTCATCCACTATCTGCCTTCAATTTAACGAGGGACATAAGCTCAGCTTCTGATAGTTTGAACTTGTAGTTGAATTAATTGGGGAAAGCCTTGAACTAATTTTCACCTCTAAACTATATCTTTCTTTTGCTTTAAGCCTCTAAATTATTTTTTTGTCAAAATAAGTCCTTAAACTTTTATATGTAATTATTTTAAATATCTAAATTATTTTTTGGTCAAACAAGTCCTTAAATCATGCTCATTTTTTAAAGCCCCTAAATTATTTTTTAGTCAAAACAAGTACCTAATTTTGTGTAAATTATAAACATTTCATTTGTCGAAAAAGAATTTTCAAAATGAAAAATAGGACTTAAAGTGGTTACGTACAATAGTATAAAGACTTATTTTGACAAAAAAAAAAGTTTAGAAGCTTAAAGCAAAAAATATATATATAATTTAGGGACTTTTTTTTTTACTTTAAGCCTTGAAAAAATTACAATGAAATATTTGATAATTCTGATTATAACTTGAAAATCTAATCTAAAATTTGATATTTGTACAATTAAAATGACAAAACGATCTAAAATTAATTTTTTAGTCTATCGACAACGCACATACTTTGCAGATACAATAACTCAAATCCAAAATTTTTAAGGAGAATACTATTTTTTTTATCTCTAAAATTTTTGGGGTTGATAAAGTGTTGTCAAGGCAGCATGTATAGGATTGGGAAGACGTCTTTTATTATTTGAAGGGAAGGGGAAAGTTCTACCGTGCGACATCCTTAATAAATGACTAAGGAAATGCGTTATTGGTTTTGTTATTATTTTTTTAACAAAACTAGTAAAAAATACCTAAAACATTATTATTTCTACCTAAAACATTATTGTTTTTCAACATTTTCGGTAAAGTGCCGAATAATAAGAAAACCGATAGAAAAAAATAATAAAACTGGTAGCGTTTTATCGGATATGTTACCAAAACTGATAAAGCGCCCAATAATAACAAAATCGGTAGAAATAATAATGTTTCCGGTAAATTTTTTACCTATTTTATTAAAAAAATAATAAAATCGATAACATTTTTATTTAATCGTATATTAAGATTGTCGAACGTGAGATTTTTCCGGGGAAGGGATGCGAAGAGGCAGTTGAACAAATGTAGGTCAGATGTTTTTGGGTCCATCAAAGTTGCAAGAGAGGAATTTCTATATAAATGTATATATAAAGTCCCCTCTCCTAAAACTCCATTCCTTTACTTTTTTTCCCCTTCTTCTAAATCTCTATGTGGGAGTAGTTCAACCTCTTCCGCCTTCCCACACCATTTTTAATCTTCATTTCTCAAACATTACACTTCCTCTTTATTATTTTCCCCTTACATTCTCTGTGGAGCCCTCCGAATTTTAGCTTCTTCAGCTATGGATGGCCAACAAACCACCCCACCGCCGGTTTTGCCACCGTTATCGCCACCACTTACCGCTCCTTTCCTCTCAACGCCATCCTCCTCACAACACAATCCTTTAGATACTGAAATGATCCCCGATATTGATTGAGTTAGCCTCCTCTCCGGTCAATCTTTTCTGGGTCATGATAATCAGAGCAAGCCAATGGTTGAAGCTTCTTCTTTGATGGCCCAAAACGGAGACTTAAAATGGCAAGAGGAAAGGTCGTTGGTTAAAAAAGACAATCCGGCCGAGGTTTGCGTTCCAAACCAGGAGTGCTGATGATATTTTGGACGATGGGTATCGGTGGAGAAAGTATGGGCAAAAGGCCGTAAAAATAGCATTTATCCAAGGTTTGTTTATGATCGAAACTACTGCTTCTTCTCTTATATACTCTGGCACTGTGCCATGTTTATTCGTTCTTGGCTTTCGATGCATTTTTTGTTTACAATGGAATATATATTAGGGTAAAGTACATCAATGTCTATGTTATTATTTTATTGAGTTTTTTTTAATATTAAAGTTATAAAATAATTTATCAACTATAGTATATTGTTTTGTTGAATTTACGACTATTAAAAGTCATAAAATTGTCACTTCACTATTTATATGTTCCTCACTCGTTATTTTCGTTAAAATTTTATAGTTGTTTGAGTTGAATGTTAACATATTAATTGAGATATGGTAAAAGCTGATCTTAAAATTATTTAAGCCGTATTTTTTAGATCGACTCTCAATTTACTTTATACCATTGAGTTAGTGCTCGAAAGTAAAGACAATGATGATAGATATCATTAAAATATAATTTAATCATATACTTACCAACAAGTTCATGCTCAACACAAATGACTGATGAGTTTTTTAATAGAAAATGACGAGTTTATAATATATAAATAGTCTAATGATCATTTTTTTAACTTTTAATAATTGAAGAACTCAACAAAATAACATCTTATAGTTATGAAATAATTTTATAATTATTAATTATTAGAGAACACAACAAAACAATGTTTTATTGTTGAGGATTTTTTTTTACTTTACCCTATATATTAACACTTAAGACAAATTAGATGTTTATTTATTGATTTATAAATGAATTAGGAGTTATTACCGGTGTACACATCCCACATGCAACGTGAAGAAAGTTCAGAGGCTGGCAAAAGACAGCAGCATCGTGGTGACTACTTACGAAGGAATTCACAACCATCCTTGTTAGAAGCTAATGGAAACCGTAAACCATCTTCTCAAACAAATGCAATTCCTTTCTAGGTTTAATATCAACTTCCAACCCTAATCTACCTAATCACTTTAACTAACTTTAATATGTTCAAAAACAAATAATTTTACTAACCATGTATAGTGTTAAGTTGCATAAACAATTCATGTTAATTAATACCTTGGATAATCTTATTATTATGTTTATTTAAGTTTACTAATTTTCCTACAAAAGATATTTTATTTTATTAAATTATGTATAATATAATTGTTAATACTAATGTTTTATCATCATTACAGCATACTAGCGGGGCATATCAGGCGAGTGTATTTATTATGTACATTCGGAGTTATAGTTGCAATTGGTTCAATGTATATGTTGCATTGTTATATCAGTACTATGTGTACTATTGGGCTTAAGTGTACAACCCAAAAAATTCATAATATGTTTATGATTGACCGTATCGACACTGAGTGTGCAACCCACGGAATTCATAATAAGTTTATGAACGATCGTATCGACACTAAGTGTGCAACCCACATAATTCATAATATATTTATAAACGATCGTATCGGCACTGAGTGTGCAACCCACAGAAATCATAATATGTTTATGAACGATCGTATCGACACTAAGTGTTTAACCCACATATTTCATAATATGTTTATGAATGATCGTATCGGCACTGAGTGTGCAACCCACTAAATTCATAATAAGTTCATGAACGACCGTATCGGCACTAAGTGTGCAACCCACAGAATTCATAATATATTTATGAACGACCGTATCGACACTGAGTGTGCAACCCACATAATTCATAATAAGTTTATGAACGACCTTATCAGCACTGAGTGTGCAACCCACGAAATTCATAATAAGTTTATGAACGACCTTATCAGCACTGAGTGTGCAACCTACGAAATTCATAATATGTTTATGAACGACCGTATCGACACTAAGTGAGAAACCCATGTAATTCATAATATGTTTATGAACGACCGTATCGGCAATGAATGTGCAACCTACGGAATTCATAATAAGCTTATGAACGATCGTATTGACACTAAGTGTGCAACCCACGGAATTCATAATATGTTTATGAACAACCGTATTGGCACTGAGTGTGCAACCTACGAAATTCATAATGAGTTTATGAACGACCGTATCGGCACTGAGTGTGCAACCCACATAATTCATAATAATTTTATGAATGACCGTATCGACACTAAGTGTGCAACCCACGGAATTCATAATATGTTTATGAACGACCGTATTGGCACTAAGTGTACAACCCACAGAATTCAAAATATGATTATGAACGACCGTATTGGCACTAAGTGTGCAACTCAAGGAATTCATAATATGTTTATGAACAACCGTATGACACTATGTGTGCACCCCAAAGAACTTATAATGTTATGAAAACAATAAATTCGTATTTTTATAGTTATGATATACTTATGTCTTAATTACAACATTTAGGTACAACTCATGTACCATGTATTTTCATTCATCATATATTGGGAAAACAAAGGATAAAATAGAAAATATTGATTGAAAGGTATGTTGGGAATGCTAAAGATAATTATCATGTTATTTGATTGAAGATTGATTCGCCAAACCTATTTGATGTATTGATATGAATTTTACGATTTTTATTTTTATTCTTTGATAATTGGGGATATGCTTATATTTAAGTATAATTCATTTTGTATTACTATGCCTCACTAAGTAAATACTTATTGTGTGTTGGTTTTCATGCGTAGGTAGAAGACGAGATTAGAAGTAAAGCATACCGAGCAACTCCAAGCATCAAGGAATATACTGCAATATCAGTAAGACATCCTATGATGTAATTTTTTACTTAGTTTAGTGGCATGTACTTATGAATGTTTTATAAAATATATTATTAAATGGCTTTATTTAAAGAAAACGAAAATTTTATTGATTTTCAAGTATATATGATGTTTCAAAAGTCATGTGACATTTGTGACTCGTGTACGGAAACATATACGGGAAATGAGTGTTACATTTATTGGTAT